TCGGCGATCATAGTCGTCCATCCCGTCAAGTATTGAAAAATATCGGTCACATATCTCCCCCTGTCTCACTCCCACTATTGTGTCTCTCACAGAATGAACCCTATACGCGTTTACATTTAAATCTTCCTGTAACGACGTATTATATAAAATGTGCACACACTGCTGTAGGGGACAGTAGGTAGTTGGCATACCGTATCATTCACAGAAACAGTATCACTTCAGTTTAATGAGTGTGCCAACATTCTCCTCCCCCATTCCTTCCCCGGCATCCAGCATGTATCTTAATTTGTCTTGACATCCAATGTAAGAAATCTCGAGTCATAAAATTATACCCAGCTGGTTCAAGTAAATTAGAGAGGGAATTCACATATAATGCACAAACACGCCTTTTAGGACTTATGTCCAAGGATCTTATTGATTTGTCACGAAAAATAAATTTAAACATAGAAATAATAAACATAGGAAGTAAAATTTAATGGCATCCAACGTACTGCAGTATGGCGTCCAGAATAGCACAATAGGGTTCGGAATAATCTGTCATAGAGACCCTGAAACAAATACATCCAAGAGAGCCCATGCAAGTCTAGATTTCCACAGTTTAAGAACGTCTCTAGGCTCCATGTCATTATGTTTCATGGTTATAATTTATCAATTGTTTAATCTGTAAAATATATTCATTTCAGAGACTAGTTGTTAGTCTAGGATCGGCATTGAGCATACGGGGAATGGGAGCCGTTTTATTGCCTGCTTTGATATGACAGAGACAGATCCCCAGCTCTATTCCTTCAATTAATCCAGTATGGATTGTTTAGGAGATGAAAAAATTAGGCGCCGAATCTTTACCAGGCATTTAAAAATGGATTGCACAGAAGGACATTGCACTTTTTGTAGATAACTATTTCTTAATTGTTTGTCTCGGCAGTTCAAGGATACTTCTTGCCCCTTCAAGACAAACAGAAACAGAACAGGGAGAAACTGCTTTTTCTTGGATTTAACAATCCACAATTGCAGCTTGTCAAACTGAATCAGGTACAGAGAAAAAAACGTCCACACTATAAATCTATAATTTCAGCATGCCAAAATACAAATTCCCACTCCGGAATCACGATTAGTGAAGAGGTTGTAGAAACATAGCGCCCCCTGGTGTGATCCAGGCGTGAGATAGCGGAGATAACTCAGGCATCTTTGTGTTAGCCACCGTGTTAACGCTATCCCATCGGCAATCTCTATGTCGCTAACATTTACTCCTGGCGAGTCAACACTAAAACAACAGCTAAAGCACGCAGCGATTGAAATGTGAAAACAGTTTCAGTATACATGTATGTTCCTAATTCAGAATCGGGATTCTGACCTGCACACTTAACGCTACCATTTCAAACTGTTATTTTAAGATGAGTCTACACTCCCTCGATTACGCAACCTTGCCAACAAAAATGAAAGCAAATAAGATATTAAAAATGTCCTTCCTAAAAGAAGACCTGAGTATAAAAGGTTTTGACATTACTCACATCAGCATGCTTGGAGTGCGGTGGATCTGGCACGAATGACAATAAGACAACAAAAAAGAGATTTGTCTTAATGTTAAACAGCATGCACACTCACAAATAAGTAAGGTCACGATATTATTGGAGATGTATTTTCAAACTCGCGAGACATGTTCTTCAAGGGCTAAACGTATTGCTGCAGACACAGAAACTGACAGAAATTAAAAAAAGGAATATAAAATCCGCAGGTAGCCCCCAAACACACGCAGTTGCCTCACAACGTACCATTGATGTATCAAGTATTCCCAAGCAGATATGAGTTGACAAAGCCATGTTTTCAAGTTCGTGATGTAGATACAGACATTGACAAAGAGATTGACATTGTTGAAAAAGATATACTCAAAAAGATTCAGATAACAGCTCTTTTGTTGGCTGGCGAAGAGTGAGTAAGTGAGTGAATGAGTTTAGTCCAATATTCCAGCTATATGGCGGCGGTCTGTAAATAGTCTGGACCAGACAATCCAGTGTTCAACAGCATGAGCATCGATCTGCGCAACTGGGAACCGATGACATGTGTCAACCAAGTCAGCGAGCCTGACCACCCGATCGCGTTAGTCGGCTGGCGAAGAAGTCTCCGTTACCTTCTGACGGCGGTTGCTCATATTATAGAAGTTCGACGTAGTCTCACCGCCCCTGAACCACCTTACTGTCCCTTCTGCCCTTGGGCGGTGGGGTAGCCTAGTGGTTACAGCGTCCGCTCGTCACGCTGAAGACCCGGGTTCGACTGTCCATGTGTGAAACCCATTTCTGGTGTCCCTGGTCGTGATATCACTGGAATATCGTTAAACGCGGCGTAAAACCATACTCACTCACTCACCCTTCTGTCCGGAGCTTGCAATACTAAAGCCCTAAATGACGCAACTCTAGATTTAACGCTAGGTTCTTTAGTCAACGAGGAGCTATTACATGTATTCCCTAGTCACAAGAAAGTATGGCTGGCAACTACACAACTAGGGGACCGGTACATGACACTCAGTCAACGTCAGCCATATTTTAACACATCGAGTTCAGTACTAGACTAACGCTTAGTCACTTAAGGTAAATACTGTGATGGAACTAAACAACACCACTTGAACTAAAAAGGAGCCCCTCAGAACCTGAGGAAAATCTGGACTAGCTTAGTTTATGGATTTGCATTTCAGACAGGGCTAGGAGGAAGGTAAAATATTGCGGTTTCACCATATGCTCTGTGAGCCCGCACACTTCAGGATACTGTCCACAGAGGTCTGTATAGGAACAGCTTGTGATGTTACAAAGCAGCTGGACTGACTGACTGACTGACTGAGTTTGGTTTTACGCCGCTTTTAGCAATATTCCAGCAACATCACGGCGGGGGACACCAGAAATGGGCTTCACACATTGTGCCCATGTGGGGATTCGAACCCGGGTCTTCGGCGTGACGAGCCAACGCTTTAAGCATTAGGCTACCCCACCGCCCCCCAAACCAGCTGGAACATTAGACGATGCACTATACGCTTTCAAAACAAAATGTCTCATGGCCATACAATTTTTTTGGACATAGCAAGTTTTGTCACGATATGCCAATCATCGGGACGATTTGTTCAAATTCTTCAATGTTTTTGTTTGATTTTTTAATACGGTTTTTAACGTCGTGATCATGGGGCCTTTGTCGGTATTTTCTTTCCATTTGGTGAGAACATTTCCGTTGAAAGTGATGAAGTAAAGGTATCTTAAGAGGCATTTGAAAATACTGCTGACATACAGATTTCCACTTCCTTATTATGTCCATGCGAAGAGAAAGATCAGTAGCTCACACTGTAGAGTGACATCAACACAAGATCAATTATACAAGTGATAACTGTCAGTCTGTGGTGAGGGGTTATACGTCTGAAAATACAAATAATGAACTCGAGGGATGACCTCGAGGGATGCCCTGGAGGGAAGCCTCCATGGCTTGAACGGGACAAAATCTCGCACTCTTCAAACGTCTGTGCCCTTGGCAACTCGCGGCACATCCTACCTCTGTGAACACACATCCTCTACTTTAACAAATTAACAAGTGCAAATCATACTTGGGGAAATTAATACTCGTTGTTTGACATAACACAGACGTTTTCATATCTAGTCATGGTTGAGTATCAATGTGGCCATTGATATGGACCCGTAATTAGCATGGTAAGTATATCTACTGTATGAGAACTTACAGACATAATTCATGAATCCATGAACGGATCTTGTACATATAAATGTCCACCCTTCCTTCTTTGCAAAGTGTAATCAATGCAAATATTCTACGCAGGGATGAAATATTAGAATTACTGTTTATCTGGCTGATCATTGCCACATTGCCTTTGGCGGTATCACAAAGAGTAACTGATAGTCTAAGGGTGCAAAAGCCTTGCAAGAGTCAAGAAGCAATCGTGACCAATCTTGAAGGTTTTCTCGGATGACATCATGGCCCCAGGATTTCACTGTTTATAAAACGTTAGAAATAATGGGCCAGACATGTGTTTTTATACAGTTTCTAAAATCCAAATATTTATCATGCACCACAAATAGAATACGAGGGAGCAGACGACAATTTCGTGACAGAACGAGAACTGGCGGGAAGTATTGAATGTGCAAGGAGAGTAAATTCACTCAGCGTTTGCCCGAACGTTAGGTCTATCAGGGGAGATAACTGTTTTAATTGTGGTCATCTTTGACAGCACACTGGCAAATCTAGCAACACAGTGCAAGACGCGACATGAGGTTTCAGCGACGTCTGGTGTTAGCACAGAAAGGATGAACCGTCTGGATGTCGATAGATGGACAAAAACAGTGTTATGTGGCCCGTGTTTGCATAATCTGTGAAGGCACATGATATCTGATTGTGAACAAGTTTTGACGTTCAATCTTATCGTTCATAAATAGGACAGGGATCACTTGAATGAACTCGTTTAAAAGTGAGTTGAACTTCAAGTGGTGGGACATTTTGAATTCTATTCTCAAATGTCAAGTGAAGGTGTCAAGATCCATAGCCGTTCTGTATCACGCGTAGGATCATTTACTGGCATCAACCCATCACAACAGGGTCAGGGTCATACGCGAATAATATGTGAATGCCAGAAAATAGGACAATGTGAATCTTTGAAGATTATATAGAGATGGTGTTACTTTAGTAAAGTATATGTTAGTGTTATGCAACAAAGTATATCATGCATGCAATAAAATCGCCATACCCTGAAATATATTAACAAGGCTTAGAACGGCCAAATATGCCAAATAAACGTCACAATAATTCACACAAGGCAACGTCCCTCTTTGAAAGTGGGGTTGCATAGCCAAGATTAATATTTCTATGAAATTTTGGCCCAAATTTACAACGAGTTTGCCTAAATGTACTCGGTCTTTTGACAGCTTGTCAGGAACGTCCACAACGTCGTTTTATCTGAAAACGACATCATAGACATAATATCATAAAAATAGATAAAGACAATTAACAAATGTACTTACCAGTCCCCCACACGCAGATATCGCTGCTCTAGAGTTGTCTTCCCCTGTCACGTGACCAGTAAAATGACATCCTCGGTGATCAAGTGTTTTGAACATAGAATCCGACACGTTCTTATATCTTCCTGTTCTCGTTTCCACGACCGTCGTCGGCGTGAGCAACTTACTGTTGACCTGCAACTTGACTTGTAACGTCCTATCTGATAATGGAATCTGGTAATGGATGACGTCATCAGAAGACGCACCTGCTTCTTCATCTACACTTCTCTTCCATATCTTATGATGTGCGTGTAATGTGTGTGTTAAAAATTCTCCATCTGAACTAACACGGCTTGGAATTACCACTTCGTAATCATCCAGGTTCTGAGCAAAGTTTTCTGGAAAAAAAATGCATTAGAAAATGGCAGATTATTTGGAATGATTGCACATGAATAACTGACAGTGGGACCTCGCTAACTCGAAATACTTTTGAGACGAATAAACAGTACAGGACAGACAGAATCTTTATAAGCGCATTGGAAATCCGCTTTTGTTATTAAGTTTTACAATCAACTCAAAGCTGCATTTTATGGTATCCAATATTACAATATATTTAAATATGCGTAATATCATGCTGGTACATTGGTGAAAAGTGAGCGAGATGGGTTTAACGTCGTTCTGAACAGTATCAGTTGAAAAAAGACTCACAGTAGGAGGAAAGCCAGGCGTAATGCAGGCAATATACGTTTACCACTAATATTGGTATGATTCGGACAAACCAAAACACATAGTGGGGCGAATCTGGGATTCGAACCTACTGTAATATATTTCTGGTACGCCTGAGTGATCACTGCACAGATGCCAATCGTTTCCCTATGTGAAAGTATCGAACAAAGTATCTATTCTTCAGTCATGAGAGGCGGTGGGGTAGCCTAATGGTTAAAGTGTTCGCCCGTCACGCTGAAAACCCGGGTTCGATTCCCCACATGGGCACAATGTTTGAAGCCCATTTCTGGTGTCCCCCGCCGTGATATTGCTGGAATATTGCTAAAAGCGGCGTAAAAACCTCATTCTCTCTTCTGTCATGAGACGTATGTACATCAATGCCGTATCAATTAATATCGTGTTTAATAAGCGTATTTCAACTACGCGATGCACATATTCCTGTTTGTTGAGTACCGAAATATCCCAACTGATAGGTGATCTATGCCGTCCCCGTCGCTTCGTGGGACGTTCGGTTTTCATCATCCCCGAGATACGTGTAGTATTGTACTTAATGTTTGTAACATGACATTCAAATGTCAGGATAAATATGAGGCTGGTATTACAAAACCCCACTCCAGACGCATCTTTTCATAATTGCCTGGGACATATTTCGTGTTTCGTTAAAGGGATAATTAGAACCATTCCCTAATCTCGCAAAATCGTTTCGTATCCTGTCTGTTCTGTGAAACGGGATTCCTGGGTCATAGTTGCCGTATTCCTAGTTCTCTTGTCATAACGTTGCCGTACAGCTAGTTCTCTTCAATTTACGGGCAATCAACGCCCAACATACCGTACAGCTTATACAAGTTCCTTCAATCAATTTACGGGCAATAATTCTAACAGTAGCCGCTTGAAGCATCCAACACGTAGATATTGAAGTATCAACGCCCATCATTACTGTACAGCTTATACAAGTTCCTTCAATCAATTTACGGGCAATAATTCTAACAGTAGCCGCTTGAAGCATCCAACACGTAGATATTGAAGTATCAACGCCCATCATTACTGTACAGCTTATACAAGTTCCTTCAATCAATTTACGGGCAATAATTCTAACAGTAGCCGCTTGAAGCATCAACACGTAGATATTGAAGTATCAACGCCCATCATTACCGTACAGCTTATACAAGTTCCTTCAATCAATTTACGGGCAATAATTCTAACAGTAGCCGCTTGAAGCATCCAACACGTAGATATTGAAGTATCAACGCCCATCATTACCGTACAGCTTATACAAGTTCCTTCAATCAATTTACGGGCAATAATTCTAACAGTAGGCAATAATTCTAACGTAGATATTGAAGTAGCCGCCCATCATTACCGTACAGCATACAAGTTCCTTCACACGTAGAATATTGAAGTATCAACGCCCATCATTACCGTACAGCTTATACAAGTTCCTTCAATCAATTTACGGGCAATAATTCTAACAGTAGCCGCTTGAAGCATCTTACACGTAGATATTGAAGTATCAACGCCCATCATTACCGTACAGCTTATACAAGTTCCTTCAATCAATTTACGGGCAATAATTCTAACAGTAGCCGCTTGAAGCATCTTACACGTAGATATTGAAGTATCAACGCCCATCATTACCGTACAGCTTATACAAGTTCCTTCAATCAATTTACGGGCAATAATTCTAACAGTAGCCGCTTGAAGCATCTTATAACACGTAGATATTGAAGTATCAACGCCCATCATTACCGTACAGCTTATACAAGTTCCTTCAATCAATTTACGGGCAATAATTCTAACAGTAGCCGCTTGAAGCATCTTACACGTAGATATTGAAGTATCAACGCCCATCATTACCGTACAGCTTATACAAGTTCCTTCAATCAATTTACGGGCAATAATTCTAACAGTAGCCGCTTGAAGCATCTTACACGTAGATATTGAAGTATCAACGCCCATCATTACCGTACAGCTTATACAAGCTTATAATAAGTTCCTTCAATCAATTTACGGGCAATAATTCTAACAGTAGCCTTCAATCAATTTACGGGCAATAATTTAACAGTAGCCGCTTGAGCATCCAACACGTAGATATTGAAGTATCAACGCCCATCATTACCGTACAGCTTATACAAGTTCCTTCAATCAATTTACGGGCAATAATTCTAACAGTAGCCGCTTGAAGCATCCAACACGTAGATATTGAAGTATCAACGCCCATCATTACCGTACAGCTTATACAAGTTCCTTCAATCAATTTACGGGCAATAATTCTAACAGTAGCCGCTTGAAGCATCTTACACGTAGATATTGAAGTATCAACGCCCATCATTACCGTACAGCTTATACAAGTTCCTTCAATCAATTTACGGGCAATAATTCTAACAGTAGCCGCTTGAAGCATCCAACACGTAGATATTGAAGTAGCTGCCAACATACCGTACAGCTTATACAAGTTCCTTCAATCAATTTACGGGCAATAATTCTAACAGTAGCCGCTAGAAGCATCCAACACGTAGATATTGAAGTAGCTGCCAACATACAATACACTAAAGCCGTCGACGACGCAACTCAGTGACGCTTTTCAAGTCAGTGTTATGAGCTGTTCATTCGTATCAATCAACAGAAACGCCTATCTTTATCGACAGTAACGTCAAAACACAACACAGCCGTAAAGCATGAGGTATTCGTTCGTATCCGCAAACCAAATTGTATTAGCCATAGTAGTTTACAAGTAATAATTTTTCATATCGTTTCAGACCGTGTCATTACTACTGTCACATTGGGGAGGACTGTAAGGTAAGTTAGTTGTTAAAGCGTTCGCTCCTCAAGCCAACGGCACGAGTTCGATTCCACACAAGGGCAAAATGTGTGAAGCCCAATTTGGGCTGTACAATGCAGGAACATTGCTAATAGCGGCCTAAAACTAGTCCTGTTTGTTCATATATGAGCAAGAGAATGTTGTTCTAAATGTCGGTCAGTACTAATTAAGCTCTTGTGTGCCATTAACCAAATCTGGACAAGGCTGTCCAGTGGGTGACTGCATGAGCACCTATGCACATCCTATGAGTGCGATAATACACGCACACGCACGCACGCACGCACGCACGCACACACACACGTGCGCCTTGTCAAACTTTATAACTAGGATCTTCGCAGTGAGTTTCTAAAACCCCACAACGTAGTACTATAATATAGATTACAAGCTAACGGGTTCCATAGGCTGTAATCTGCAGCTCGTGAGGGGATCCACATACCACTGCATTCAACAGGCAGCAACGGGGGAGGGGCTGTCTATTGGTTAAAGTATTCCCCTGTCACGTAGATAACCCGGGTTCGTACACCCACGAAGCTGCAACCCACATTCATTTCCAGTTTTACGCCGCTTCTAGCAATATTCCAGCAATACCACGGCGGGGGACGCCAGAAATGAGCTTCAAACATTGCACCCATGTGGGGTGTCGAACCGGGGATTTAACCACTATAGCCCTTTCGGAAAGAAGCTCCTGGTGACTCGAAGACTACCGATTAATTCAGTTAATTCGAGTGAATGGAGAGCATGTGACTTGGTAACAAAGAAAGCTGCTGCTCCACGTGAAGGATGCAACGGAAACCAAACAAATTACTATCAATACTGCTATTTGCTAGTAATTGATGCTACGAACACTGACACCCCTTCCAAAGAAAGTGCATGAGAGATCATTAAAACCGTTTCTTTACTATAAAATAGAAACGAAACTAGAATTTCAAGCTTAAGATTACATCAGGTGAGTACTCCATGAGTTGTAACTGTTGTTATCCAAGTGTAACATTTCCCTGTCACATATTACTGTAACTGATTGATGGCATTTATTGGAAGTAATACGCCTATTACTGTAACTGATGGGGAACATTTATCGGAAGTAATACGCCTATTACTGTCACTGATGGGGAACATTTATTGGAAGTAATACGCCTATTACTGTAACTGATTGATGGCATTTATTGGAAGTAATACGCCTATTACTGTAACTGATGGGGAACATTTATTGGAAGTAATACGCCTATTACTGTAACTGATGGGGAACATTTATTGGAAGTAATACGCCTATTACTGTAACTGATGGGGAACATTTATTGGAAGTAATACGCCTATTACTGTAACTGATTGATGGCATTTATTGGAAGTAATACGCCTATTACTGTAACTGATGGATGGCATTTATTGGAAGTAATACGCCTATTACTGTAACTGATGGATGGCATTTATTGGAAGTATTTATTGGAAGTAATACGCCTATTACTGTAACTGATGGATGGCATTTATTGGAAGTAATACGCCTATTACTGTAACTGATGGATGGCATTTATTGGAAGTAATACGCCTATTACTGTAACTGATGGGGCATTTATTGGAAGTAATACGCCTATTACTGTAACTGATTGGAAGTAATACGCCTATGGGATGGCATTTATTGGAAGTAATACGCCTATTACTGTAACTGATGGATGGCATTTATTATTACTGTAACTGATGGATGGCATTTATTGGAGTAATACGCCTATTACTGTAACTGATGGGGGACATTATTGGGAATACGTTTATTGGAAGTAATACGTCTATTACTGTAACTGATGGATTTATTGGGTAATTATTACTGTAACTGATGGGGAACATTTATTGGAAGTAATACGT